CAGCCATATCAAGTGCTGTACGCTAATAGTAATAATAATAATGATAATAATAAGATTATAATTGCAATATATACTTCATCTTTATCAGCGAGATTGACATTAGCTTTATGCTCCAATAATAGTTGGACTACTTGTGTATGTCCTTTTAAACTGGCAATATGAAGTGCTGTACGCTACATAAAATTATTATATAAATAGGAATGATGATAGTAATAATAATAATTACTATGTCTCTTACTTTATAAGTATCAACATGATTGATGTCACATTTAATAAGATTAAATTTACAGGATCCTGTTTATTTTCAAATGCAATGAGAAGTTGAATAATTTTTTCATTACCCTCCTCACAAGCATAAAAAAGTGGTATGCGTCCATTGTTATCAGTAACATTGATATCCACTGCTTCATAGCATAACAATTTATCAACCTCTTCAAAGTTACTGTCCATACATGCTCTGTGAAGTGGTGTGCAACCATTTTTATCTATAGAATATAACTGACTTTGAATGTGGTATTGTGTTTGAACAGTGAGACATTTTGACAGTTTGATGTTAAACAAATGCATATAATGATGATGCAATAATACATTATGAATTAAGTATTACAAGAGCCTATATAGAAGAATGTAAAACATCAAAGGGGCATCCCTATAAGCAAAGATAAACATTATGATTTAGCTGTTTTATCCATAAAGATATGCATGATTGTCTTGTTCCTGATTCTATTTTCTATTATAGTGCCTACAATTACTTCAACAGTATATCTACCATAACTGACCATATTGTGTACACATGCTCTCAGGCTCACCCACAATAAGGGCTTATCACTTATTATAGTCACAAATAGAGTAATGCAATTCACATTTGGAGTAATGTTAGAGTAAACTCAGTGATAAAAAGCCATCATTATGCAATAATATAAAGTGACAGACTGGCCAAGTGTGAAAAGTATGATGGGACTCTGGAGTCCCTCCAAAAATTGGTAAAATGTGTTCATAAATTCCTATTAGCATCTCAAGATTTATCACTTATTAATACACAATTTATATACTTATTGCACTGACTCATTTTAAAAACATCATGGGTTTCATTCAAAACCACAGCTCTAAGTTTTGATGTGGCTACTATCAAAAACAAAGACTACTATACAAAAAATTAGCCTGAGGCTGAGGGATTATCATAACAGCTATATAGCTTCCTAGTGCAGTTACACTTACTTTTGCATGTTTGCAGAAGTTACGCTTGCAAGCATGCTCTTGCATGCTTGCAGTAGTCTGGTAACCAGCATGCGATTGTAAACATAGATTCTCAAAGCTAAATGATAGCACACCAAATGAATGAAAGACAGACATAAAACCAGAGTACCTAGTCCTCGCCTACACAAAGCTGGGCGAGGCGAATTAGAGTAATGCAATATCGCATTTGGAGTGACATTAGTCATAGCAATGATAGTATGAATTTTACTCTTTACTATTTTCTCACGTACTACACAAGTTTGACAGCCATACCAATTTTGTTTTTAGTAGAAGCGCTATTAGAGGCACCAGTTGCATCATCATTCAGACACTGTGAAATGAAGAGAGAGAGCTAGAGAACAAGAGATCAGTGATGACTAGTAATGAAACTTTTAATCTAAGACTGGTGCTAATTCATACTAATTTTGCATTTAATGTGATGATGTTTTAGAAACACCCAGAAAATAATTATCAAGTAAGCTTACCATGCTGTGTATAGCCTGCTGCCCGCCGGGGGCCACAAGACATAGAGTGTTGGTGCATTGTGAATGGGCCTCACCCAAACAAAAAACACATGCTTCACTGAAGTAAAATATATTTATATATATACATGTTATTTGATTTGCTTTAGACTTGCTTAGTTTTGATGATCGCTGGCGGACAAAATAATAATTATAATGGTATAGCTCACTTCCATTTCAACACCACTGCATTCGTTAGTTACAGCTTTAGACATATTTTCCAGTAAGCTATAAAAATCTAGTCAGTGCAAATTCCTGCGACTGTCGATTTACATGCTATGCTTTGGCTTATACATAAATGTAGATACTATAATTATCTATGCTTTATAATGATCAAAGCTTCGTTTGTCGTTTGAACGCTGCGTGCATTGGGCGCACGTGATCTCAATGGTTCACTGGGGCTGGACTGAGATGGTATTCTGAACTTGATAGCAACATATCACAGAAGAAAGAAAGGAGCAATGGCCTTCAGAAAAACTGATATGATAAAAATATCTATGGAGTGTCTCGCCGATTCTCGCATATCCAGACTAGTAACCACACCCTTCGTGTCACTAATGGTTTGGTCTGGCGAGACGATATCATAGCTTTGTGTTTGGGGTAGCAGCACATAAAACAGGACGAGAACTCAAGAGAGACCATGGGCAATCAGAGAGACAAGAGAAGCAACTGGTAATTATAAATTAATGAATGGGTGGGGTTGTCATTAAAATTAATTATTAATAGGAAATGAGATAGGCACTCATTTCACTGTCTTTAATTTGTATAACAGAATAATTTACATATACATTGTACTTAAATACATGAATTACTCTGTACTGCCTGTAGTACAGGGTGTTTTTGTCTAATTTTTACAACTTTAAAAATTCATAAAAATTCAAACTTGATTTGAATCAGCTCAAACTTTCGACACAACATAAGAACATGTATATGTCTCAGAAAAGTTATAAAAATATAGAATTTTCGCCTTTTCATTTTTGACGAAATACGCTTAGTTCAAATTTTTGACCAAAATTAATTTTTACTTTGCTGACAAGCTTTGCCTGTGGAAAACCTAGTGTATAGTTTCTAGTTTCTGATCAAGAATTTGATCCTGATGCAATGTATAAAAACTTGTACATGTTGACACTTACAGTTTATGTAGTACATAAGTATCTCTCAATTAGTAACCCTCTCTCTCTCCCTCTCTTTCTCTCTCCCTCCAGACAGCTACTGTATTAGCTAAACAGTTGGTTGAACTAAGACAACAGAAAACTAAATCTTATGGACTGAGTGCTACCATTACGGCAACAGGACATCAAATGAAAGTATGTCAACTTGAGTTGTCTCTAACACATTCAAAACCAACCCTATGGCACATGTATTGTGTCTTCCCCATTATGATAGATATAATTCTCCCTACTTTGTATTGCCTTATGCTTTTGGTTTAATTCGTACACAATGTAGTGAATGTACCCTGTATATTTACCACACATATACATGTACATGTGCATGTGCATGTGTGGTATCTAACAAGTAAACTCATCTTTAATAATTGTACTAATATCATATCATGTGATGTTCATGTGATGCTGTAGGCAATGCAGTCTCAGGTTGCTATGACAAAGGCAATGGGACAAACGTCCAAGGCAATGGCATCAATGAACAAACAAGTAAAACTTGAAGACATTCAACAGACAATGCAACAGTTTGAAAAAGAATCAACTAAAATGGACATGGCAGGAGAAATGAGTGAGTATGCATCTTACAATAATTTAGAATGCATAATTTACATTGCACTTTGTATTTCCAATTTAATTTACAACCTTAACTACTTAATTTTTAATTTGGCAATTAACACATTCATGTGTAACGAGTAGCAAAATCACAAAATAAAATCCACTAAATTAAAGTGCTTATTAGTACCTTACAATATAGTATTATTATTATTATCATTATTACTATTGTTATCATTATTATTATTATTTTCTTGTTGTTTCAGTGGATGATACGATGGATGCAATACTGTCAGGAGATGAAGATGAAGAAGATGAAGTAATTGGACAAGTACTGGATGAGATTGGACTAGAGTACACCAGCAAAGTATAAACAATATACACTTTCCTTTTACCCATTCCTCTCTCTTCTCTCATTCCTTCCCATCTCTCTGGTCCTCTCTCTCTTCTCTCCATTAGTTGGCTGGTGCTAAGGTTGCAGGTGGTAAGTTAGGACAGGAAGATAAAGAATTAACTAGTACTGACGATCTTGAAGCAAGACTAGCTAATCTGCATGCTTCATAATTATAATAATTACAAATAATATGTAATAATTAATTTATTATTGTCATTGTCTATTATTAAATTTTTATTCTAAATCTAATTACTATGCTAGCTCCACCTTACAGTTGACCTTATATTTAATCAGGCTTATTTTTAATTACTTATCATATACTACCATTTATGGTTGGTGCAAGAGCTCTTTTTTAAGCTCATAGGTTTGAGAGAAAAAATGAGCTTGAAATGTGTTGCTGTTTTATTCCTTCTTGCTCACGTTATTCCACTGGTGTCTCTGCAATCAGTGTAAGTACAGTGTATGCCTAACAAAGTAATTCTATCAACACTTCTTCATTCTAAAGATGCTACGACACAGGCTACAGCTCCGTCCTCAAGTCTCAATCGACTAGAACTCAAAGGGAACATGGCTATCGCTGTGGCTGGTTTGGTTGGAGCAGATGCACTAGGTATAGAATTTCAATTATAATAGTAGTAATAATTAAATTATTTTTAACAGGATTATATATGATACTCGCAGATATTACGTGTACATCAGTGTGTCTTATTCAAGAGCAGTTTGCTGCCCTGCTACACATGTCGGTGTTTATCCTAATTGCAGACGTAAGTTCTCATAGTTTTGTGCATCATATCCTGTGCATTAACAGCTCAATGCAATCCTGGATGCAGTAATGGTGGACAGTGCTATCACAATAGCGCAACGAATGTAAATTATTGTGTATGTCCATCTGGTTTCAGGGGAAAGGGCTGCGAACAAGGTAGAGACTATGTTCTTTAATGATCGTTATCATTTTGATTAACATTGTATAGATATCAATGAATGTGTTGAAAACTCTTATGCCTGCCAGTCTCCATCAGTGTGTCAGAATACACTAGGATCATACAGATGTGCTTGTCCTGTTGGATACACACTAGCATATGATGGAAGGAGCTGCATTGGTACTATAGCCTATAACAGTTTCTTGTAATATTTATTAATAAATAGATAAGGATGAATGTTCTGATGGTAGTCACACGTGTGGATCAAATGGGAACTGTGAGAATGTAAAAGGATCTTTCATATGTCACTGTGGACAAGGATATGAAACACCAGCATGGGATCCTAAAAGATGCGTAGGTATGGATATAAGATAATATATTTTATACCTAATTTATATGGACAATCTTTTAAGCCATTAATCCCCATACATGAATTCTCCCCAAAATATTGTGCTATGTAGCATATAAACTTTAATATGCATGCTGCATGTACTGTTTCACTTTATTTGTCATCCTACCATTAACCCAAACTTCAAAAACTATATGCAAAGCGGTAGATCATTACTTAAGTAGGCAGCAGTGGGAGCTATAGGGAAGCCCTTGATAAGTCCCTTTAACTTTGATGTGTACACAATCCCTCCAGGACCCTCCTTCTGGCTATTAGTTCACACATGCTAACTGGATGTTGAAAGTTAATCATGTGGGAGATGAAGCAGCCAGTGAGTCTGCCATGTGGTAGACAATCATGTTGTTCGGGGATGTATAGTTTTGTCTAAAAATTAAGCTTAGATTTTAGGTCTTTGCTGACCACTCTGCATCACCTTTTCCATGATGATCAATGATTAATGTGTTACATGCTCTTATAGATCATTTATACATGGGCAATCCCAATAGAGGTCACTAGGTCTGAACTTGCTCTATGTTGCTCTCCCTATTGTAATGCCATACTTCATGATCACTGTTACTAATAACCTCTGAAATGCACTTACAGCACATGACGTTATCATAAACAGACAGTTTTACGAAACAATGTTAAATTGTACTTATATTCAAATAAAGAGTGTGTTAAAGAAATAATGAACTACAATGCAGGCAATCAGGCTAGCTCTCTAAACTGCATGCCCACAAGTATTTAATTTGAATCTTATGTGGTTGCCACCTGTTACTATATTCCCAACATACACTACATGATGGTGCATAGCGCTTTCAACATTTGTCCATAGCCTTTGATCGTGCTCTAATTGCGTGGTCAAGCACACTGCATGCCTTGAATGAAAACTTTCAGTTCCTTTCAACAAGACATGTACCCAAAAGTAAAATTCCCATAGACATATGGGTTCCTTTGCTTTCTCATTAGCTATGCTTGTGCAGATTGTGAAGTTTGGCTTTGGTAAATCCCACATAAGTCTATAAGGGAGAGTGTTGATGAATATGAATCACTTGATGGGATGCTACATCAAGCATTGCATTAAATGATAATAGTTGTTAAATTTGCCTCATGCAAGCCAGTAAGAGGACAAATTCACTGGATGTGTTTGTTATAGCTTGTACACACGTGCCTCAGATCTGCCACAGTTTACCTCAACTTTACGTAGTTCATTAATTTTAAGTTAACATCTTCATCATCATTGTAATGCATTTTTATTTAGATATTAATGAATGTGCAAGGAACATTGATGGATGTCAGCAAATCTGCACAAATTTCCCAGGATTTTATGTTTGCTCATGTAGAGATGGATTCACTAAAAATATAAGAAACCTCAGGAAGTGTGATGGTTTGTACAACTGTAATAATTATGTGCAAATATGGTCTGAATATAGATATTGATGAATGCAAAGAAGGAACTGATAATTGTACTCATAAATGTGAAAATTCCATAGGCTCTTATAAGTGTGGTTGTAATTTAGGATGTGAACTAGCAAGTGATGGAGTGTCTTGTGAAGGTATGGTTGAGTTATACTTTAAGTTGTAAGATTTGATTATGTACATGTAGATGTTGATGAATGTAACGACACACTTTTGAATGATTGTGATCATGAATGTACAAACTTACATTGTGAAAATGGAAAATATTCATGTTCTTGTCGTTCTGGATACTCCCTTCATGACAACAATCACACTTGTGAAGGTAATGTAGTATCATTAATGTACATTATGTTTGATCTATTTTATTTTAGATGTCAATGAATGCTTGACTAATAATGGAGGCTGTGAACAAACATGTAATAACATGATTGGGAGCTATTATTGTTCCTGTGACAGAGAGGCTGGTTACGAATTATCAAGTGATGGCCACAGTTGTGAAGGTTAGGTTTCTTGACATTTGATTTATTTTACTCGTACATTTGTAGCATTACCTTGTCCTACTCTCATTGCTCCTGTCAATGGATACATGCAGTGTTCAGATTATCCAGTGGTTGTTAATAGTACTTGCTCATTTACATGTAAAGATGAATATGATTTGTTCGGTTCATCTGTTAGATTGTGTGGCACTGATACCACTTGGAATGGAACTAACACTGATTGTCAAATAAAACAATGTTCTGAGATACAAACACTACCGAACAGTGTCCAACTTCAGTCCTGTCAGACTAGTGTTAATTCAACCTGCTTCTTTAGTTGTGTTCCTGGATATTTCATTGATTCTGCTACTGATGCTACTTACAATCAAGAATGTATTGTTACTGAGGGAGTAGCTCTTTGGACACCACCAGAAATATGTAAAGGTTAGTATAAAGAATTAATTAATGTTGGTTTTATTTTTGGCTTTAATTTTTAGAAACAACTGCCTGTAATCCTAGCCCTTGTCTAACTGGTACTTGTTATGTATCAGATAGTAATGAACCATACTGTGTGTGCCCTGATGAATATGTAGGGAAGTATTGTGGTACACTCAGTGTCACCATATCAGATTTACCATTATTAAATAATAATGAGCGTTCACCTCCCATTTCTATTTATGCCTCTCCTCAGTCTTCAGTTACTGTCAGCATTACTACTGAACCTCCTGTGGCTATTATTCCAAGTGATCAAATCACAATTTATCATCCTGACAATGTCTCTAGTTTCTATCTTGAATCATCTCAAAGTAGTTTTATTCGACTTAAACTAAGAGTGAGTGATGAAGGTGAAGAAGAAGCCACTACCATTGATGATAGAGTAACAGTTGCTTCAGATGAAAAGGCAACTGGTAAGTATTTCAAAGGAGAAGATGTAAACAATATACTCACTGAGGGTTGCTGTAGGCCTCATACTGACCTGATCTCAAGATATTGTACTGGAAGGTCTAAGCAATTAATATCGTTTACGTCAACATGTGCATGGACTGGCCAAAACAATGAATATACATCAAATGGTATCATATTTGTTTCTGTTGGTCGACAGTCTCTACCTGTTTCTATAATTGGAATAAATATGCAGCTATCAGATGAAGGACTTACTACAGATTTTACTCGCCCTGGTCTGTCATGTTCACCTTGTGCTGATTGTAGATCTACTTCAGTTTCTCCTCAAAGAATGGAAGATGTACGTGACATGGTTAAACGTTTATCAATGATAAACACTTTTCTATCAGCAGTGGGACCCATACTGCCACAACACCTTACTATTGAAGCTGATGGTGAATTCAACAAAAACTATTACTCTACTGGTGACTACTTGGCAAAAATAGTACCAGAGTATCAGCTTTCTAGTTTATTGGAGTGTCCTAATATACCTATTGATACAACAAACACTGATCTCTACTATGTTATTACTACTAGCTCTGGCCTTCAATTTGCCTACAATAACGATAAGCAATTGTATGCTTCATCTTCTGAAACAGTTTGTTTTGCGTATCCACTCTGCAGTGGTGATAGAACTCTTTATGTACCTATTCCTCCTCAATTAGATGAACAAATTCAGAATCTTGCAGTTTTTAATAGATTAAGACAAAATAATTGGGAATTCAATATAAAATCAATCGAGACATCACGTTATGGATTATCAACAGATCAACCTGTTACCTACTGGGATGGAAATATCTTTACTTCTACAACACAACCAAATTACAAGTTAAAAGCTGAAATGAGTATTACTGGACGTTTTCAGGAGCAATATCTAGAGGTTCGATCTATTTTTCATGGATCAGTTACTGAAGCTACTGACACTGAAAATTCTTGTCAAGTTGTGAGCACATTAGCAATATCTATTAACTTAATTTTTAAATTTTTATAGGTACAAACTGTAAAAGGTGAAATGGATGTAGAAATACGATCTGGTTTAATTGCAAGTCATGAGCATTCTGTATTGCATTTGACTGCAGGCAATGGACAAGGATTGTATGTAACAAAAGGTAAATAATATT